TGGGGGTGGAGAGAGGACACCACTATATTCAGAAAATGTAAGGTGTCATCCACCTTGCCATGCTATGTGAGATGTAAATCTCAGGACAGGATGGAAATACCCACATTCCGTGTCTGGAGTTCCGCTTTAGATATTACAGGCTGTCCTTCCCTACACAGAAACGTGTGTCCTGTGTGCTCCTGTAATAATGCAATAGTTAACAGGTTTTGTGTGTGTGCATGCCTTGTAGCTGCTAGGATTCTTTAGATCCCCTTCTTAAATAATATAACAACAGTAAATTTAAGGTTAAATGGTCTCTGTAAATGCAAGAGCAAAAATATTCCCCTCAAGTCGGCTTTTATGTAAAACCCTTATTAAAGGGCAATGGCCATATCCACAAAACCCGGTTTCTCGCCTTTAAATCCAAGTCTGGAACAGGCCCCACTTGGAGAGGTTCATCCCTAATTGAATGCATTCCCATTTAGGCAATCTGTGCACCAACCTTTGGCTTATCTCGCAGGCAGCCATAAGGCTTACACAGTAACAAACAGAGAGCAGCGTTTCACAACAGCTACTTGTAGGGTTGAGCTGAAGCATTATTCATCTGTGTATAGAACACAGTGCTCTGAGTGAGCAGGCAGCCATGGCAATGGTTCAGGATTCATGTCTGCTTTAGCAAATATATTGTTTACCTGTGGTTAGGTGCAAATGACACACAAAACATTTCTACGTAAACTTCTGCCTTACAACAAAGTCCCAGCATGCCTTTGTAGCTCTTACAAAGAGAAGGGAAACTACAATGGATTACAGTAAGGCACACATTACAGTATTGGTTTATGTTAAAAAATCTGAGGGTTTAATGTCACTTTAAGTATTTATTAGAAATAAAGAATTAAAAGTACTTTAAAGAGATCTATAGCCAAACCTTTTTTGGCTTTAGTTCTCTTTTGGGTCAATGAAGGACATATACTAATGTACTCCTGTGACCCTAAGTCAGCATATAGTGGACATATAGCCTGCTATATGCTGACAGTGCAGAGCCATGCTGCAGCAGCGGAAGATCCCAATATTGTTTGGATCCACCCTACTGGTTGATTGACAGCTGGCTCTGCCTCTCTAGAGCCACAGAGGAGCAGAGATAGGGAGATAGGGAGATAGGGGAGGGGGAATCCCTGAGCTGAATGACAATCAAACAGTTTGTGAGCGCTCAGTTCTCAATCTATAGAGCTGGCGTGTGTCACATGCCGGCTCCAACTATTGGGTATCTAATATAAGAGTATATTACTCTCCCAAAAGTTCTCCTTTAAATAGAACTAATATAGACATTCTGTCTTGATATGAGTCTCTTGTAATCCCCTGCGGAGAAGATTAGGCAAGGATTGGGACTGGTAACCAGTCAGGACTGGGTCTTCAAAGTGCAATCAGCTACAATATGAATATGCTTGATGGAAGAGAGAGCAAAAGGATGACATCATCAGCGGGCTGCTGCTCCTTCATTGTCCAATCGGCTTACTGGACGCGAGTCATTGACCAAGCTGTACTATTTAACCACAGTGGAGGTAATTTAGTGCCATGATCATGATACATGATTACAAATATTTGGCCAAATGTTTGCATATATGTTTTTCAATTGTGTATTTAGTTGTTGCTTCAAATGCAGGTTTGAAAAAAGTAGCAGCATTTCCAGTATTTGAATTTTAACACCATTCCCAAAACAGCAGCATAAGTGACGAAGTGGACCCTGCGAGCGTGCTGCCCATTAATTCTTGTTTGAGCACTTTTGATATATTAACTGCCCTCTGTGCTGTCATAGTTGGGCTCCCAAACATACATTCATATGGCAAAGCAAGGGCCAATTCAATAAATCATCTTAGAGATCTGGGACACTATCGTAATCAGCAGAAGCAGCCAGAGCCTACCCCTATCCCACACACATCTGCTACACTCGGAGCCAATAAACACAAGCTGTTAAGAGACACCAGCCTGGGTGCAAAACAGGGATCTGTGGAGCCAAAAAGGTGTGTCGAGCTAGTGCACATTCTACAGAAATACCAGATACACACAGCTTTGAAACATTATGTGTTTGAAGATATTTGTATCTGGTATGTCTGTACAATTCTAGGTACTTCCAAAGTAAATCAGTGGCCTAGCATAGATTTTGATGTACCCAACATCTAGGCACTATAGACAGTGTGATTATTCATTGAATGCAATCATTTTCCAGAAATCGCTGGCATCTTCCATGTGTGGTCTCTTTAGTTTTTAGAGCCTTGACAGTTTGTGCTTAGACCAAAATTAGTTTAGCCTTCACACTTTGTACTAATGAACTGATTTTAGATGACAAGCTGCGGAAATTAGGTCCATGGAAACCAAAACTAAGGTGGACACACTTCTTGAAATTGATGGAACTTTGGCCACAACTTTAGCAGACTGTCTGTGGCTCTGTTGCTGAAATTTCATCTCACTTCCTGTTCCTGTATCACCAAATGAAATGGCAATCAGCAGGAAAGCGACCATGAAATCCTAATATTTATTACAGGTATTTATCTAGAGCTGACATTTTACGCAGCGCTTTACATTCACATCAGTTTATTTCATAAAACCTTTGCTTGTGAACAGCACCATCATTGCCCGTCAACAGGAATGATACATGATTTGAATGCAAAGCTACATGGAACACAAATGCTAACAGTGAGCGAGCGCTGTCCTGTGGCCTAAGTGACACTGTCCAGCTACTCTTGTACACAGAATGCCTACTCTGTGACAGACAGGCACGTCTATAGCAATCACCGATAACCTCCTCCATGAAAACTTGATAATAGACTGATTATTTATTACTAGGGCCATTTGCTACAGTGCTGCAATGTATCTGCCCAGAATGGAGATTATTAATGCTTTCTCTGTCTCCTGTCTGACTCTGGCAAGGACTTCCACAACTATAAAATATAATAGGGATACCTCAGATTAAATTGTTAACTTCAGCACTGCCCTTGGGCTCCACTGTAACGAATATGGCGGATGGAGGTCTCCTGGGTCCAGTTAGCTAAGAGAAGCCTTATTTGACATTATCAATATATGTCTCACTCTTCTACGGCTGGCTGGGTAAACCTGACAGAATTATTTGCTCCTTATCCATATAAGATAAAGGAATTTATATACTCAGCAAGTTGTAAATTAGATTGAAATTAGGCTGCACTCATTAAATGGTTATTTATGAGTAATGGGTGATTACTATGGTAATCAGAAGTTAGTAGGATGTTTGTTTAGAGGTTTCGTTGTTCTAGTCTGAAGGGGTTAAGCTGGAGCTTCTCTGTTGAGTCCTGGTATGTGCATGTCAATTGCTGATGGTGGGGAGGATGTCTGTGTATGTGTTTCGGAGAGGGTGAGTGTGTCTGTGTGTGGGTAGGCTCTGGCTCAATGTACAAGCCTGTAGGTTCCTGCCCTTCCTTGTCTGTAACGTTCCTGGCAGCGGCACACGTTGAAGGTTGCATGGAGATTTGCCAGTGTTTGCAGAATTCGTGACCAAGCATACCGTCTGCGACTTTGTACAAACTTCGCCTGTGCTTGTTTGTCTGCCCTTTATACCACCACAAAACGAACGCTTGCTCTGCCTCGGAGACAGCCACAGCCAGTTGTCTTGTTTTTAATGTATTTAGTTGCCAACTGCCTTTGGGACAGTACCACGCTTCGTAGATTTGTCCACGGTTTGCAAAACTGACCAGCTGTTCTATAGATTCTTCTGACTCGTAAGGATGAACTGCCATCTTTTTGTTTACAATGTTATTTTCTTGTATTTACTAAAACAAAAAAAACTGTATATTCTGATTCAAAAAGAATTTTAGAAATGGATATGTTGCTTATGATGGTCCTTTTAAATGGCAGTGCACGATAAGCTCAGCTATACCAACCGAATAGCGAAAATTAGGGACTCTTTAAAAAAAAAAAAAAATTAGAAGCTTCTCAGTTTGGAGTTGGATAACAGCAATCCGTGTAAAATTCAGATCCTGTTGTCACAACTTGGATAAGTTTGCATTTTTGCTAAATTCTGTTTAATCACGCATTTTTTTTTTAATTTGTTGCGCATGTTCTTTATAAATTGATGTGCCATTACTATACAATGCTGTTGTGATTATTAATAAGTATTGGTCATGTAGGAGGACAAAGTAGCCTTCTTTAATTTGCATTTACAGTCCACACACACACAGCTTGCCCTTTTAGTGGAGGGCTCACTTTTCCTGTAAGATGCTGCCTCCATTCTATAACAAGCCCTTGATAGATGAGAATTTGAAGCTTCCAATGACAGTCTGCCTCTTCCTTCCTGCCGGCGTGTAGCTGCATCAGGCTCCCAGCCTCCCCCCAGCCACATAATAGGAGGCTATTGATTGGAAATCTGTGCAGGGGGACGCTGTAATTGTATATTAGATATTTGCGTTGGCTCGCAGAGCCTCACTAATGCAAGCACGTCTGACGTTTCCGTAGCATGCAGCAGCAGAAGGGCAGAGAAGTGGGAGAGACAGGCAGGCACAGGAGGCGAGACAGCTGTGAAGACAGAGAGACAGCCAGAAGCAGAGAGAGATAGAGAGCAGGCGTGTTAAAGAAGCCTTGTTGAAAAGGAAGCCGAGTAGAAAGAATCCCAGGCTTCTTCCCACTTGTTCAGCACCAGGGTCTGGGAGCTTTGGAAACACACAGGAGACAGATGATGAATCTCAGTAAGAACATCCTGCATTCAATATATTTATAGCTGGAAATTTCTCCATTGATCCTCCCTACATGCGCACGGGCTGATCTGGGGAAGAACAAAACACTTGTATATGTGGCTGCGCTGCAAGTGGGCTTGTCTTACTGTTACCTTATCCGTTTTGTTTTCTGTATTACCTTAACTCCTCTGCTGCCAATATACTTGCCTCAAACGGCACATGTATGAACACAAAATGTGCTTTATGTGCTTTACATTTCAGGACACCGTGCTGATATCTTATTGGCTCTAACCTGTGCCCTTTTCTTTTGTTCTCTTTTTGTAGATGACTTTTTAGACAAGAAGCGAGAATGCTCTCCCAACAGTAACAGCGAGTGCCCAGTGGAAAGCAAGAAAGCCAGAAGCGAGTCTCCGAAGGGTGAGTGGTTCCTTAAAGCTGGCATTGGGGCGATGGGGTGGGGGTGGGGGGTGCACTGTGTAGCCTGCAGAGGGGCGTGGATGGAGGGAGGGAGAGTTGTCAAGGTGATGTGTTGTCAGAGTGTCAAAGTGGAGTGGGAGGGAGGAGGAAAGGGCCACCGAGAGGATAAAAATGCCTCATTAGTCCACCCTTTCATTGCTAGCAGGGACATTACTCCTCGGCGCCCTAATGATATGCTCTGCATGCAGATGGGTGTTAATGAGGCGGCTAAAACTTTACATGATGTCAGCCCAGACATTAAGCAGTGATCCAATCCATTCCTAGCTGACAACAAGGAACTGTATGAGGAAGGGCATTGTCAGTCTCTGGCTTCTCTATCTGGCAGCTGCTTTTACTCAGAGGCTGTGTATGGGACTTGTGTGAGCTCTTAAACTCCACAACAGTTCTTTCCAGGCTTTGCTATTTTACTCAAGCAAAAGCAATTATTATTATTTTAAGATATATTTTTTTCTTTGGGAATCTCCTAGTGCTAACAATTTAAGTGTGTGTGTTCATTATGCCTTTTATTGTTTGTAAATGAAATGCCTTTTTTTTATGTTATTAAATTTGTAATTAGGATAATAATAGTTAAAATAATGAATGGACTTGTTGGTAGAATGCATTGTGATATTTCATACACTCACTTCAGAAAGCAAAGTGGCTCA